GATGCATGATCACCACAGCCCCACTTGTTGCAAGTCTGTACCCTCGACATGCGATATCACCACCGCCCCACTTGTTGCCAGTCAGTACCCCTGACATGTGATATCCCCTGCGACATGCATGCACTCAGTGCAAGGTGTGGATGAGTGGAAGATCTACACCTTGACTTGTCCATGCTCATTACTAAAGTCAACACACCCAGGCTGACTGTATGGTCAGCTTGTAACTACAGCAAATAGAAACCTGCCTGTGTACATAGTGCAGACAAAATATTACAACCATATTAGAGCCAATAAATTGTAATATTTACGACTGATCAACACTTGAATTATATGTCAAGTAAGTTGCTCTACCCAGCATGTGTCGATGGTGAGGTGAGGTGAAATTGGGTTTAACGTCGCGTCCAACATGTGTCGATGGACTGGCATCAGCCTGAGGTCAGTGATTTCATATATAAAAACAGAGGTTAGGGACCTTTATTAAAGGGGAGGAGAGGAGGGAGTGTATGAGTGTGTATGGGTGTGTGGGTGGAGGGGTTGGGGGGGGGGGGGGAGAGGGTTGAGTGGGGCTAAAAAATGACAGCGAAAGAGGTGGGGTGGGGGCACCCAAAAATGATAAAATATTACATGTATTTGCAGGGGGGATATATTACAAAAATATATTACATAAAGGGTGGGGGGGATCAGCCAAATATGATACAGTTCTGAGGCCAATTCTTTTCTCCCCAATAATAAATGACCATTCCCTTAGTGTGTACAAGGCATTCCCATCTTATGGCAGTTTGTTTAAGAATTCCTTTGACAAGAATTGAGTGCCGATGTCATTTTATTAAAGTAATCCTGTAATGGTTGTAATCAGTTTTACAGTAATTGGTAGCAAAAAGATTTCAGCAAAGAATTCAATCAATCAGCAGTCAGTGGCCTGACATGTCAAAGCCAAGGTTACCAAGGTTCTTGGATAAAAAAAGGCTGTACCATCCTCAATTACCCAGTATATAATACATGTATCTCCATTTTATTTGGATCAACACCTGGACCCATTCACCAACATGGATTCACTTTCAGAAGTCATGCATCTTCCCGAGGCAAGAGAGTTAACTTGACTATAAAAGTCCAGTTTCCACCCTTGCCAAACTAGACTGGAATTCCTGTGCTCGATCGTAGCGCCACCAGTGGTTATTATGAGTTATGTCCCTTCTAAGCCTCTCCTTTGGACCAATCCGATTCCATCACTTGCATTTGTTTCAAACAAAATGGCGGCACCCAGTCAAGACGATCTGATCGATCATCAAGATCTATCTACATTGTGATAAAACGGGTCTTACATCGCGAAGTGCATCAAATCACGCGAGCACCTTGATTAAATACATGAAAAGGTTTGGAAAATATCTGTTGACAATGAGTTGGCGGTGCACATGCTTTGCAAATCCTGCAATCGACCGAAATCTGCAAGACAGTTTACGAACCGGATTTCGATTTCGTTGCACGATTTTGATTGGACTATGCATAGACCCGTTAGTCCAGCCAAAATGTAACTCCATAATACCAGTCAAGTTCGGCAAGGGTGGAATCTGGACTTTTAAAGTCAGTTAACTCTCTTGCCTGGGGAAGATGGAAGTCATGTGACCATCCCCATCTCACTAAGATACGAGGATTTTCTCTCACTCAGGATCCGGATCTGAATGGAAGGCTATATGTAGCAGCATGTCCTTCGAATGCAGATCGAATGAATGGATCCAAGGTATGTATTATTTCAGAATGGAGATGTAATACAGATAGTTTGAGGATGAAGCACTATCATCTTGTTGCAAACTGATTCGGATTTCCTTTATTATAGAAGAAATAAGTGTCTATAGCACTATCACAACTAAAGTAAACCTGTCTTTAATCATGGTACCATTCATCAGTGTTACAGTAAGTGCTCAGAATAACACTTTCTTCAGCATAATTGAAACAAGGGAAGTGAAATATTTATAGAACCTATGTTGGACGTTGTGTGGAAGTCCAGATTATGAGATTACCAGAGATTTCACATGAGAATAGAATATGCACTTGGAATTGTGGGCAGCTGCAGGCCTTACAGTATTTTGCTTGGTTTACACATCCGCGAAACTTAAAAATTGTAAATCAAGATGAAAAAATAATCAGAATGACAAGGGTAAAAATTGCTTTGACCAAAAAAAAAATTCCCACAAAAAATGATCATTATATTTTTTTCACCTACTGATCCAAATCAATCTTTAATATGATTAAAAAATTCTGTACATGGCATCTACTGACCATATTTTTCTCTATCAAGATCCGTAAAGCAAAAAGAAAGAAATTGTTTGGCCTCACATAAACATGCATTGTTTTCCTCACAAGCATGATAAACATGACATGTAGGGAGATATAGCTCCATATTTATAATATAGGTCTTGATTTCCTGCTTAAAATGTTCAAAATAACACGATTTAACAAAAATCTTTCGTCAAAATATGAAATTCATCATATACGAGGACAGTACCATAAGTGTAATTTGATTGGCTGCCTTAGGTCACGTGCTCAAATTTGACCAATCATGAATCTTGAAGCAGATTTTGTCAAGAAAGCGTCATTAGAAACCAATTTTTATCCAATAAAATCGCACGTTATAGCTATGCAAAGACTCCAGGCGATGTTTACCCATGTAGATGACAAAACACAAGCTTTCTAGTGATGTGTCATATGTCAGTCTTAGACGAACGTGTTATTCGTACAAAGCCTCGAAAATGGAGGTATGTCTTCATGTTACTGAGCGGACAGCCGCTGTTATCGGGAAATGGGTGATGACAGATACTATTAATAATTCTTTTTAAAATAATGTTCCAATTACGCAAACAATGAAATAGGTAAGTGGATCTTATATGTGCCAAAATCGTCAAATTTTCGCTTCCTCGGTCCTTAATCTGGACCTTAAGAATGTGTTAGCTTACATGTTTATATTTACAAAAAAAGTTGTAAATGCATTATTAAAGTAATGTTATAAACATAACTTTCATATGTATAAACAATAGGATTAGACCTTTCAAATGGTGTGTAACAGATAGTAGCAAAGATGTTTTACAAGCAGATATTTTCTTTGATGAATGTTGGCGTCATCTATCATACAAGAGCCTCTCAGAACTCAAGTGTCACAGCAGTAAACGCTTCTGGTTGACTGGTGTTGAAAGAGTTAAGGAAAGGTTTGGGTGTGTTAGGGGTATGTTTGGGTGTGTTAGGGAAATGTTTGGGTGTACAAAGGGCAGGTATGGGTGTATTACGGATAGGTTTGATGTATTATGGGTAGGTTTGATGTATTTAGGAAAGGTTTGGGTGTGTTAAGGATGTGTTTGGGTCTGTTAGGGGTATGTTTTGTTGTATTAGGGGTAGGTTTGAGTGTGTTAGGTGTATGTTAAGGTGTATTAGGGGTATGTTTGGGTGTATTAGGGGTAGGTTTGGGCGTGTTAGGGGTATGTTTGGGTGCGTCAGGGGTATGTTTGGGTTTATTTAGGGCAGGTTTGGTGTATTATGGGTATGTTTGGGTGTGTTAGGGGTATTTTTGGGTGTGTTAGGGTGTGTTAGAGGTGTGTTTGGGTGTATTAAGGGCAGGTTTGGGTGTAGTAGGGGTAGGTTTGGGTGTGTTAGGCATATGTTCGGGTGTATTAGGGGTAGGTTTGGGTGTGTTAGGTCGTTTGACATGCTCAACCTGGACAGAACACATACATGTGGGTGCACTCAAACAGTTACACGTGTACAAATATACTCAGTAAATTTCACGATAAGTTTGAGATTCAGACAAATAACCAAAACACACAATGACAATATGCAGCAAACCGGGGCAACCTACCGGTACCAGGTTTACTGTTAAAGGGAGCTAAGGGAAGGAGGGAATACTGTCTACATGGTGGTAGCCAATCCTCCATACACTCATTACTTATGCTGTCACATGTAGTCACACATACAATAGTTCTGGGTATTTATTTACGGAGTCTGAAACATGACACGAACACAGACAGGTGCTGACCACCTCCCTATATTTGGCAGCTGGCATACATTTCTATTGATGTTATTACATATGTCAAATATTAGTATAAGAAAAGTGAATATTGGACAAAAGAGAATATAAATGCAATAAGAACAGGAAAAAAATATATATAAGCTAATGTTTAATGTTAAGTAGTCATGGTATTGGTGTATATAATCGAAAAGTTTTGAAAATCCACTTCTATAGGCCGGTATATGACTAAAGCAGAATCTGATGACCATGCACCGCATGTCAGTTTTATCATCAAAAGCAATGGCCATTAGCTAGTATCACCATATCAAGCCATCAGCTAACACCTCACATTTGAGGGTTTACTAGACTCATGCTGCTACCCTGATTTGTGAAGTCAGTTGGTACACATGCTGCATGGTCCAGGATTCACCCAATGAGAGGAATATTCACCAGCCAGGGACCACGCCAGCAGGGTGAGTGAGTGAATTGTTCATTATTAGCAAACACTGTAGCTATAAGCAGCCAGTATTTTGACTGAAAATATTATTGCATACATAATACTCAATAAGCAGCAATAGACAACAGAAGTTGAATCTGACCTTGGTGATGCAGCTTCATGTACAGACAGTGTTTGAAACAAGTATGAAAGTCAAAGGGTCCTGGTCATAACCCTAATGTTAATAGTGCAATACTGAGGGGATCCCTAGGTTCACATGCTTCAGATAACCTCAAGGACCCCAGGGCTCCCTTAATGTCAAACACTTTGCAGACACACTCTGCCTGTTTCACTGTTAGCTCGGCCATCATTTGTTCAGAAATGCAATGTCAAGGTCGTTCTTGAAGCTGCTACAAATCCTATCAAACATTGTTGAGTCTTGACACGTCTACCTGAAGCTGATCATTGGAGTAATAACTGTCATAAATGTTTTGGAATTTGTGTGTTTAACATGTTTAATAGTCAGGAACCACACAAGTGAAGATGCATGTGTCACTCAAACATACTTACGTTTCATCTTTGCTAATGAATTAGCATCATTTCTCTGATTTTCTGGAACACATTTTACATTTTCACAGGGAGAAAATAAACAAGTCTGCCTTATAAACTTGTTCAAAACATATAACAGGTCAAAGTTCATAACAATAAAGGATAAAAAAGAGAAGATAACTCTTGTATCAGAAGAATTCCCATTCATCATGTACACAGAAGACATCACTGACAGCTGTGTTCCATAACAGTGCATGATGACATATTATCTAATTAACTATTTTAGTCTCCACCTACGTCACTGCTAGATTCATCCTATTTATATTTTAAGGCTTATCAGCTCCATACCCATGTTTAGGGAAACGGTCAAGCTGTAGATCTATATGACTCCTCTAAGATCAAGCTGACACACCTTGTACAACCGAAATACTGTTAAACTAAACTAACTCACTCACTCACTCATTTATCCCCCAATACCAACAGACAATTAGAATCTCTTGTGTGTTGCCTTCTTTCATTACCATGGTTACTTGATGAAATACACAAACATTTATGTTTCATGTGAATCACATCTGTTGACAGTAAACTTACACATATGTTAAGAGAACAGGTTGAGCAGTTTGTTTAAAAATAAAATGTTAAAAGAAAATACTTCCCGCCTCACACCAAAAAACAAAATGGATGAGAACCTAAAAATAATATATTTCACGTCCTAATGACACATTTCAATCCCAAATGCCAATAACATTTCTATATCCAATCCTCGAAGTTATTCTAGTTAGATTACCTCTATACATGATATTTGGCCCAGATGCAAAGTTAAAAAACAGGGAGTACTGGTGGTGGAGATAAATGTTTTCTTGGGACAACAGCCTGCAAAAACTTTATCCATTTAAGCATCACCACTCCCCAGATGAGTAAAAAAATCAAAGCTTCTTTTGGCAGGAAAATATTCTCTATACAACAACCACTCCACCAAAAATACATTGTTTAACATCTTCTTTAAAAAGAAACAAAAATCTTGTTCAGCATCTTTTATTGTTTATATTTGAAACAGCTGACAAGACAGAATTCCAGACCAATCTCTCAATTCCTTATGGAGCTGACAGTATGTCTCACCTGCAAAGTTATTGAGGGTGAAGTCAGCTGTCTGGTTGTAGCGTCTCATCGCGATGTCGTTGGAGTGGGTCTGGCGAAACACAACTGTGGTGGGGTCGGTGTGACCCACTGGACCAGCGATGTGCTGAAACAAGCACAACATCAGATTACTGCACCAGCCCCTCCCAGAAACACATCACTTATACATCATCCTAAAGCACTGTAATAGTGACCACTGTGACATTCAAGGAAATGACTACCTCAAATTAAATATGATCAGGAAAGTATTGCTACAATAACTATTGACAGAGGATGTTATTTTCCTGTTATAGCTACATGTCTGAGTCTAATATCAATCACTACATACTCCACTGTTGAAATATTCTCACCATTCCTATTTCTCATCTTTAGAAATTATCACTGCATCAAAATCAACAGTCTACAAATCCACTAATCTAGACTTAATCCTAAGGAGAATAGAACAGGTTAATTCTACCATGATCCCTGCATAATTACGAAATCTTGGATTTATATTACAGTAATTTGAAAGAAAGACTTCTCCCAGTCTAAGTGCAGGTGAGTGAGGTAATTAAGACAGGTGTGTGACTCACCTGGAGACGGGGTTCTCTGGTGAAAGATGTGCTAGTAGGGAGTACTTGGAGTGACAGAGTAGAGGATATTACCTGGGTCTGTAACACATGCATGTTATACACAGTTAGTACTGCACAGTGAGCAGGGAGAGGGTTAACAGAGGATATTACCTGGATCTGTAACACATGCATGTTATACACATTTAGTACTGTACAGTGAGCAGGGAGAGGGTTAACAGAGGATATTACCTGGTTCTGTAACACATGCATGTTATACACATTTAGTACTGTACAGTGAGCAGGGAGAGGGTTAACAGAGGATATTACCTGGATCTGTAACACATGCATGTTATACACATTTAGTACTGCACAGTGAGCAGGGAGAGGGTTAACAGAGGATATCTCCTGGGTCTATAACACATGCATGTAATACATAGTACTCCGCTGTGATATTGCTGGAATATTGCTAAAAGCGGCGTAAAACCATACTCACTCACTCACTATACATAGTACTGCACAGTGAGCAGGGAGAGGGTTAACAGAGGATATCTCCTGTATCTGTAACACATGCATGTTATACACAGTTAGTACTGCACAGTGAGCAGGGAGAGGGTTAACAGAGGATATTACCTGGATCTGTAACACATGCATGTTATACACAGTTAGTACTGCACAGTGAGCAGGGAGAGGGTTAACAGAGGATCAGGTGTATGATGAAGACAGAGAGACAGTTGTTGATGACAAGAGTTCTGAAACAGCAGCCTTTCAAGAATACAAAACATAATCAATGATTCAGTCTGCTTTTGATATATCTATACAATGTAAAAACAGTGATAGGGATAGAAATACTGATACTTTTACGGCATATTTAAAATTTGACACTGTTGATTGAAACTACATTTACACCAGGATCTACATGTGTCTTCTCAAGGATCTGCTGTAGGGTCTACATGGGTCTACAGTAGGGTCTGCATGGGTCTACTGTATTGTCTGCATGGGCCTACTGTAGGGTCTGCATTGGTCTACTGTAGGGTCTACATGGGTCTGCATGGGTCTACTGTATTGTCTGCATGGGTCTACTGTAGGGTCTGCATGGGTCTACTTTATTGTCTGCATGGGTCTACTGTATTGTCTGCATGTGTCTACTGTAGGGTGTGCATGGGTCTACTGTAGGGTGTGCATGGGTCTACTGTAGGGTCTGCATGGGTCTACTGTATTGTCTGCATGGGTCTACTGTATTGTCTGCATGGGTCTACTGTAGGGTGTGCATGGGTCTACTGTATTGTCTGCATGGGTCTACTGTAGGGTCTGCATGGGTCTAATGTAGGGTCTGCATGGGTCTACTGTATTGTCTGCATGGGTCTACTGTAGGTAGTGCATGGGTCTACTGTATTGTCTGCATGGGTCTACTGTAGGGTCTGCATGTGTCTACTGTAGGGTCTACATGTGTCTACTGTAGGGTCTGCAAGGGTCTACTGTAGGGTCTGCATGTGTCTACTGTAGGGTCTACATGGGTCTACTGTAGGGTCTGCATGTGTCTACTGTAGGGTCTACATGGGTCTACTGTAGGGTCTGCATGTGTATACTGTAGGGTCTACATGTGTCTACTGTAGGGTCTGCATGGGTCTACTGTAGGGTCTGCATGTGTATACTGTAGGGTCTACATGTGTCTACTGTAGGGTCTGCATGGGTCTACTGTAGGGTCTGCATGTGTCTACTGTAGGGGCTGCATGGGTCTACTGTAGGGTCTGCATGTGTCTACTGTAGGGTCTGCATGGGTCTACATGGGTCTACTGTAGGGTCTGCATGGGTCTACTGTAGGGTCTGCATGTGTCTACTGTAGGGTGTACATGGGTCTACTGTAGGGTGTGCATGGGTCTACTGTAGGGTCTGCATGTGTCTACTGTAGGGTGTACATGGGTCTACTGTAGGGTGTGCATGGGTCTACTGTAGGGTCTACATGTGACTACTGTAAAGAAAAAGAAAACAATACTCATAATAATGTTATTTATTTTAAGCAAGCTTGGTTTTGACTTTTTTAGTTAAGTGTCAAACATACAATACTTGTTTGACTTTCTTTATAATGCATGTATATTAGTCTCGAAAAATATTAAAACAAGATCTAAAATCGGTCTTTGCATCACTTTTATAAATAATGCATGAACAATTTCATTTCTGTATAGATGCTGGTGTACAGGGACATGCAGCAGGCAAAATTAATAATGTTTCAAAATCATATGAGATTAATTTCCTAAAAAAGACGTTTAACATTATGTTTAACACAATGCCAATTTCAATCACACTGTATTTAGGTCTAATTTGAAGAGAGGCTCGTGCAAAATATAAACTGGTCTTTTTTTAAACTCTAATTCAATGAAACATTTAGAAAACAGAGGAAAACTTAGACAATACGAACATAGACAATACTAATCTTTTAACTTCATAAAAACTTCATACTTTTCATATTGTTACAAATAGCACCTGCTGTCTATTAATGTTGATCAATGAGTTAGGGTTCCTATCGCATACCTTACATCACATTATTTTATTTAATAAGTTATGCTACAGATACACATATAGCATATACCACAGCCACGTCATACGGTCAACTGTTGATTATCTCATATCAATGTTACTACATATTCATAAGTACAAGCAATGCCGGTCTAGACTGAGTGTATAGACTACATATAGACACAAAACAAAGCCCTGATTACTGAGCACCAATTTATCACGATGTAACTGACATTTTCATTATCTTTTCACTATTGACTACTGACTCAGATTAAGTTTTTTCTGTAGATCTACAAAATGTTGAATATTGATAGGTTTTCAATCATTATCAAATAAAATGATAATCACTTGGTTACATACCAAAGTGATCCTTATTTGACATGGAGGCTATCACAAGTTTAAATCTAACAGATACAGCTAACTGACACAATTTGATCAATGGCGTGATGGCATACTAAAATATATAAGACATTTATAATAATGTAGATGATAAAAACATTTTGATAATCTTTAGTCTTCTGCTAGTGACAGCTCCAGTATTTACTTGTCAGTGAGTGGGTCATGTGTTGTGTTTAATGAAACTGGATTATTGCTGCTGTGAGAAGTATTTCAGCTCTAACACCACTAGTCAACTTAATTATACTACTGAGGGAGGAAAATCCAAACTGGTGCAGATGATAAATGTCTACCACTTTTGTGACACCAACAAACAGGGCACGGTCCTGAATACACAACTATCATGTTTGGGACAATCTGAGACTGGAACCGATTTCTATAGAATCCTGGCATCCTTAAGACAGGGTTTAACACCATGCAGAAATGTATGTCAAGTATGCAGAAATGTATAGAATGGATGCAGAAAAAAATATATATTGCGTCCCGAGGGAAGCACAATAAAATCTTCGTACCAAATGCCAAAGAAATAAAAAGCTTCTGTAATTAAAGTAATTATTAAATTGTACAGAACAGAACACCACGATTTCATAACTTTACAGGAACCTCATATTTCCTGTAAGGACCCTTGAAATTAGTAATTGGGGGTCCACTTGACCCTTAGTTTTGTAGGTCAAGGTAAATCCCTGTAAAGGGATGCAACTCTGCACAGCAGCTTGCAGAGCCTTAAAAGACTGGGCAATGGGGTGCCCCTAAATTGTCAGTTACAGCTTGAATGACATTTTCGTCTGGCAGATTGAAGGCACAGAGTGAATGAGTAGCCATGTGTATTCAGCTGTATCAGAGAAGAGAGCAGTAACAGGTCTAGGGTGTGAATATGGCATACAAGGATGTAACGTAACAAGCATAATGAATGCATGCATAATACAAGCCTTGAAGTGTATAACTAGGTATAGAACAAAGTAGAAATTAACATTAACCTGATGCTTTCACAGACGTTACCACTGAAACACAAACAAGTACAAATCAAGTACACACCTGATATAGTATGACAATAATAATAATTAATAACAAAATAATAATAACAAGACAAAAAGTAAGCAGGGCTCACTAATCCCCCCCCCCCCCCCCATGTTTACATTTTGTAGTTTATCGGACATGTTTTGGGACAGTTAAGTATGATGAGGGCTGGCAACATTGGAACTTTGGAAACTAATTTATACACTAATGGCGGCAACTTAGTTAACCCTTTATGTGTGGAAACAAGGTAGTGGACATGGTGGTATATTGGACAAATTGTTATATTTTGTTGAAGTGTTTAAATAAACTTAGGAATTAGGGTGACTGAGTTTTCTATTTTATTCAGAACTTGTACAGATGATGGCATGATACGAGGACTGAGCGACAAGTTGGGCTTACGCTGTTTAGGCTTGATATTGAGAATTGCAGGTCAGCTTAAGGAAAACTCCAAGTGGTAATCTTACACATTTATCACAAGCATTGATATGGTAGCTGACAAGCCAAGGATAATAATAGAGGGACATCTTGGATCTGAACCTACATTCAGGAGATCCTTGTAGTGCTAAGGCATGTAACTCTACAGAGTGATTTGAGGTGTCCAAGTACACAGTCACCTATGGCTGACAATGAGTAACATCTGTATCAAATTATCATCTCTCTTGACATGGTCGGCAGAGGTAGAAACTTACAGTTTTGGTCCACTTGTCCTTATAATGATAACTTATAGTAAAACATGTGAAAAGGACAAATTTCTACTTACTAGACCTTATGATACCTTAACTATAGTACAGTTTGGCAAGGGCTACGGGACAAGTCCCAATTTCTAACACTGGTTGGTGTCATTGAATGTGGGGGACTATATATTCCTTAGCCACAAGAAAATTATTTTGAAAATTGTAGAAACTTTCATTCTTATAGAATTTACATTTATACTGTACATATCTGTGTATTAACATATTCCTGACATTCTAGGATTGTGAAACTGTTCCATAGATAACCAACTCCCAGCACCGAGGTGACATCCTAATCCTACTGTAGGTAATCTGGGGTCAGTAGACCCTGACTTGATTACCGGTGTGTCCCAGTGGGAGGTGTGAAGCTATACGTTACTGTGTACTTGTGACAGTGTAACTCACATATCAGCTTACAACAGCCGTGTCTAGCAGGTGCTCACATTGTGTATTACCCTGTCAAAGAAGTGGATTCTGTCATTTCATGCAGAACTTAATCCCAACAACTCATTTCTATTGACTGAAGTTGAAAATCATAAACTGTTAATACGGTACGATAAAAACATAAACTTCCTGTTGATATCTTTCTTTGACTTACAGAAGGATGTGATGGACTATGTAAGTCTTAACATGACAAAGTCACCTGTTTTCATGGAAAATAAATAACATTAATCATGTTACAATAAAGTCATTATTTACATGAAACATGTGAAATAAATAATTGCCATAACAAAATATTATATTTGGGAAAACACTTTCTTTGTTAAGTACAGATTCTTACTTGACTTACATGTTCAAAGCATGACAGAAATTGATCTGAACATTGTACTAGCCTGACCTAGTGAGGACACTTAAATGTATGATAAAACTGATGTTTAGTACAACCTTGAAAAGATTTGAAATCAAACCAATATTTTTTTATAACATGTACAAGGCAATTAAATCATGCCTGTGCCGTTTCTACCACATATTTAGTATTGATATATCGACTAAGTATCATGATATATATTGAGACATTGATTAATACTAAAATAAATTATTCTGTACCAGGGTATGTGTATAGATACAAATACAAATTTCTAAGTACCAGTACACCTGCAATTAATCGATTTAATGCTAAATAGGAAGAGCCATGAAAATGTTTCAAATTGAATATTCTGCCTTCTCTTTGTCCATCTTATCTATGTATTTTGAATACATGTCAAGCTTTGGTGGCAGTGAATTATTAATTCAGTATCAATATTAATAAATCTGTATCGATACAGCAATGGTATAAAATGTACCGATACATCAATATTGCAATATATGCTGACATCCCTCCAGAATGAATTAAGGGTTAAACGATACATTCATACACCGGTGCATCGTTTTCACAATATGTTTTTTTCTGTATCGATACAAGACGATAAACTTGTTGAAATATATTACTTACTAATTGATTAATGCCCCCCACCTTCCCAGCGCTTTTGTCAGTCAAATATTGCAAAACGAGTTTAACTTAGTGTTTCTTGTTTACTAATACAAATACCATATAGATATATTTTTCTAGAATTTGATTGCCCATAATTAAGGGTGCATATGACACATGAGTGTATATTCTACGCGAATAAATAAGTCTTGTGAACATTGATCAATCGTAAGGGGTGCTAAATGGGATTGTTCACTAGCCAATATATTAGCAAATACCGCCGTGGGCCCTTATTAGAGCTGGGCGCTTATTACGTCGAATCAATAGCTGCTACAACCATGTGTCTGCAACTAGCTTTTCCTTTAGAGCCTGCTCTGTAATATAAAGAGTCAAGACGTTTCCACTTGACTTGACGTAATTATATGGGTATAGCTGTATCGTGACCTATGTATCATGATACATATCGTATCGTGACCTTATTGTATTGTTTTATGCCTATGATGAATGTACATCAGTTGTACATGATATACAAGATATAGATCCATATCAAAGCACCAATACAAACATGACAAAGATTTCACGTTACATTATCTGCCATCAACTGTGATGCTATCACAACAGACATGGACACAGCAGGTGTCTGATACGCCTCCACATGGTGAATATGAAAGTAAGGGAAAATGATATACTTTCACAGTGCGTTGTGTGATATGATCTCATCAAAGACTGTGCAACTGTATCAGGGATTTAATATTTCTGTTTCCAGTAGAGGGATTGGATATTTATGTCCTAACAAATGCTTCATTTTTTTATTTGTTGCACAGGTCGGCTTGATTAATTCTCCCAGCTGTATTTACCATTGGTAAAAACTAGTTAGAGACTGTTTACTTTGAGAATGAAACTGACTTGATTCAATTACGTAGATTAAGAAAAACAACATGACATTCTAAGACACATCCAGTGTTATTTACAAGCTTTACAAATTTATACTGCCTCCAAAGAACCCTGATTATAAGTAAATATAACAGCAATCTTGTGATCATGGTGATATTACTTGATATTTGTCAAATACAGGTACCCATATTGACTAGCTTAAACTGTCCATAGTTAACGTGACATTAGTTAAAATTCTGTCAATTAGCTCATTACGTAGTCATGTTGCTTCATGGCACCAAATGTTTTCAGTGTTTTTAGCAGGGGGTCCTTTTAAATATGAACTGAGACACTATTTGACAGGACACTTGAGATACTGCTCTCACATATTGTCAATATTTCACAATAACAGTATTTGTGTGCAAAAGCTGGAAATTATCACTTCAAACATGTCAAACTTAAAGAGGATTTGTGAACATGATCAGCTGATAATGGTTATGAAATCTGTGTAAATATCAATGATTACCATGTTTTAAGATGTATCATGTGTTAATGAGAATCTCATAAATCTTTAAAAAATTATAATCACTGATAATTACACAGTTTCACAACCATTATCAGCTGATCATGTTTTTTTGATAATTTCAACAAATGAAGCAATAGACATGCATGTCTCATAAAAAGATACATTTACAAAGAAAATGAAACTACATTGGACACCTGTAATAGAAATGATTTTACATCTCACAAGCATCTGCTAGCATAATAGCCTACAGCTTCAGTAATGTGCTAATTTATTTTTTTTGAAGTATGTAGGTTTAGCTTTCAATTATTTACCAATTTATTAATGTTATTTTTCAAAGGACAATTATTAGACAGATTGATAATTGATTATTATTAATTAATGCCATTCTCCCACTTTTAGAAATAGAATAACATCAATATTGATCATTCAATAAAAAATTTCAAGAGAATAAAAACAATACAGACAGACCCAGAATGGAAACATAACAAATAAATAACATGACATATATTTTTGGCATACCTCTTTTGCAACTGTAAATCTGCTTCTGGGTTTACTGTAGTTGTACATACTTCAATGAATGCACTACGCTACGAAAGCTGACACTACAAGTAAAAGGCTGCCTAATGTCACTCAACGTGATATGCATGTTTTCATTATCTTGGATAATCTCCTGTCAATCAGAGCAACTGATCTGTCAGACTCAAACTTGTTTGCAGTTCAACACTCGTGTGTGTAATCAAACAGCATGCACTGGTAGTGATTTTCATTTTTCAAAACATGCCTTTCTGTTCATTTCAAGGAAACCTGAAGAAACGTTTTGCTGTGTTGTTTCATCCCATGGCTGCGAACCGACGCGTTAGAAACCCATGCCATCAAACACATTCCACAAACATTGCCGCCATCTTGAAACTTAGGAAGCTTTCTAACTGGGCATGCGCAAAGGAAGCGGAACAGGTGCTTGACATTTAACTTTGACCCGACCTTGAAGTCTCACCCTCACCGCTGTCACGTTTGCAAATGTAATATATACACGACAAGTGAAGAATTTTCTGTGTATTCTGAATATATATTGGTGGACAATGTCTACATTTGATCCAATAGGTTAGTTTAACCATTACAAAACTGCCTAATGAATGAAACATAGTGTCTTTTGTACTTTTATTAATATTACTAGGTGTTAAAACATATGGGGTCTAGGGCCAAATAGACTAGATAAGACTCGTTTTTTTACTGACCCCGTCCTATAGCTGGAATATTGCTGAGTGCGGGACAACAAACAGAAACGTAACAGAAATAAGTGAAACGTCATCGCATCATTAAACCTACGTAGTAATCGGCTTCACTGAAGTCCAAATGATAATAATTTGATTCCCGCAGTGCATTGCTAACAGTTGAAGTACGCCTATGTGTCTTTTGGTCAGCATTAATTTAGTTCTTGTACTGAGTGTTATGAAATACTGTTTATTTTCAATGACATAGGGAATTGGTGACCCTGCCATAGTTTCATCATATTTTGGAATGATATGCTACATTCTGATGCATTTTGAAGTTAGCATGACAGTGATCAAGTTGCATTTACCAAAAGTATAGTTTATATATTGGATTCAGTTATTGACAACATTAATAATTACCTCAATTACACAGAGATGATATCTGGGGTTCACTGATGGCACCATCTTCACGAGGCAAGGGAGTTAACTGACCATAAAAGTCAGTTTCCACCCTTCCCAAACTAGGCTGGAATTCCAGAGTTATATGCATAGTCCAATCAAAATCAAAATCGACATCCTGTTCGTAAGCTGCCATGCAGATTTCAGTTGATTGGAGGATTTGCAAAGCATCTGTACCGTAAATTTATCATCAACAGATACTTTCCAAATCTTTTCATGTTTTGATTCAAGGTGCTCACATGATATGATGCACTTTAAAATTAAAATATAGATCTTGATGATCGTTCAGATCGTCTTGACTGGGTGCCACCATTTTGTTTTTAGCAAATGCAAGTGATATGAGAGGTGGAATCTAATTGTCAATAGGAGGGACATAGAAGGAACATAAGTCGTAATAGCCAGTGGTGGCGCTACGAACAAGCCCAGAAATTCCAGCCTAGTTCAGCAAGGGTGAAAACTTGACTTTAACAGTCAGTTAACTCCCTTGCCTCGGTAAGATATGATGGCACTTGTTTTGCACACATATAGACCTAGAATGGAAATGAATACAAAACTATGGAGTAGCATCCTTCTTGAGCGTCTGTCAAGAGTATTTTTTATCCACATTAGTGAATAAGTGAGGTTTTAACATTAAATAGTGTATTTAATATACATTAACATGTTTTGTCATGGCTATGATATTATTTTACCTTTGAGTCCTAATAACTACCATAAAAGTCAACTTTTAGAACATCAGCATATACGGTTCAACCCTCTTCGTGGCGATTGGGTACTGGTGTCCCCACATCGTGCGAAGAGACCATGGAAAGGCCAGGTCGAAAAACTGGAAGCAGAGAAGGTACCAAGACATGACCCCAAGAATCCCCTGTGCCCAGGAGCTACTCGGTCTAATGGAGAGGTAGGTTAACTCGATTACCGTATTCGACGTAATAAGCGCCCAGGGCACTCTCAAAATCAGAAATAGGGGGCTCTTATTAGAAAATTATTTTGGTGGAAAAAACAGAGTTGAAAGATAAATTTTGTGGTTTATGCTGACGGCATGACTGTTTATATACGACAGATATATTTTTCCAGAATTTAATTGCCCATAATAAGGAGTGCATATAATACACGAGTTCGTATTAAACACGAATAAATAGGTCTTGTGTACATTGATCAATCAGAAGGGGTGCTAATTGGGATTGTTCACTTGCCAATATGTCAGCAAATACCGCCGTGGGGCGCTTATTACGTCGAATACGGTATGTAGAATTCATAAGTGCCAGTTTGTTTCATGCATTTCTTTAGTATCTAGTGGTTATTAACTTCACTGTTTTCAAGGATAGTAGCTAAGTGCCTTGTATCCCTGTTTGGTATATGAGCTAGGTATCGTGTTACAGGAGGTTATGATACATCAAAGTATCCTGCTCAATACAAATGACTTGTCAACCTTCTACTTTGATCAACTAATAGAGTTATCATGGTTATAGGTCTTTTCGTGATTGTGATGGCCCAGTCGTCTAAGGTGCCGCAATTCGCTGTGCAGAGTTGCGTCGCTTGGGCACGCCAGAAACCTGTGATTAGGGCTTGGAATCCTGGTTCGTCCTGATTATGTTTCTAGGTTTATCAGCACCATACCCGTGCTCGTGGGTTTCACCGAAGTGATAAACGTTTACGACCTGCATCACTTCGGGCTTTCCTCCCACATTAAGCTGACACGCTGTGATATAACTGGAATACTGTCAAAAGTGGCGTTGAACCCAACTCACTCACTTCTTTTGACCGCCTTCTTGGTTTAGTGGTAGAGCATCCGACTGGTGAGCGGACAGTCCGGGGTTTGATCCCCAGCCACGTCATACCAAAAGATGTTAAAAGATGGTACAGTAAACTATGTTTATAACAAACACGTTGATGACGAATTGACGGATAAAACGAACTGTTTGTTTGGTCACTGCCATTTGCTGCATATTTTATCGTATAAAATTGATGGATATAGCAAACATGCTTATAACAAAATAATGGATAAAGCGACTGCACTTTGTGGTCCCGTGTGTACTCTGTCAACGATAATGTTAAGTTTATAATAGACTGTTAATCCCTGAGCTGAGCTGCTCACGTGTCTCCAATTTGCCTATCAAAACATCCGCGGCACGCACAGCTGTTCAAGGCAGCAATAAACAAAGGAAGGCAATTGATTTACTCATAAGTAGTGACACCTTGTTCTCAACTTACACCCTCAATTAACAATAGTAACACAGTGATAAGGCTATAGCCTTTGAAGTGGATATCTTCTGTGTATAAAATGTGATAACTAGAGGGATGACATTGTGACAACACTCAAACAAATCCGTCTTTCAACGAATGTTCCAACCAAACTCACAGATCTCCTGAATGAAGGCAAATGACTCTTGTGTCTGTGTGTCAGTGAAACATGTTTTTACTTGTGTTATGTATGGCGACTAAACGTAGTACATGTACAGTGTACACTTTTGTTATTTTATCGAGTAAACTGCCTCCGTGGTCCAGTGGTAGAGTGTCCACCCAGTGAGTGGAAGGTCAGGGGTTTGATCCCCGACCACGTCATACCAAAAGGATGGTACTTGTTGTTACCCTGTCTGGCGCTCGGCAGTAAGGGGCTAGCACAAGGACTGGTCGGCCCGGAGTCAGTATACTGTGTCTGTGTGGGGTATTCATGTTAAACTGTGGCATGGTCTTTGTGGACTAGCACTATAAATTAGCATCAGTCCAGACTAGTACAAGCAGACACACACATGTGCATGCATGTCGCTATATATAAGTGCAATAATCTTGGATGCGAAGTTAAAACCTATTTCACCGCACCTCACCTTTTGCTATTTTCAGCATGGGTGGCGCAGCTGACTAACTCCAGCATGCCACAACTTCCGGTATTGTCTCCCTTAGCCATTCCAGGATATCTTGGTCTTGAGTTTGAATCCCTGTTTGTTCTTTGTGTTTCACCAAAGGGATAAACATCTACTTCCCATGGAGGTTCATCAGTTATCACACTGAGGAACAGTGATATGTATCATGATACATCTGGATATTGTTCCTATTGATCATTTAACCCATACCCACCCCTCTCTTTATTGTAGGTGAATGAAGATTATGAAAGTACCTACGTGTTCAAGAATGACTTCCCTGCCATGCTTGAAGAGGGTCCGCCACCTCGTAAGTTGACCTACTCCATATTGGTATCATTGCACAAGTTCTGATTTATCCTTATCAACTTATTAATTATTAATTAACAGAAACCAGGTTCACAACAGATGATTCTTCAAGATCTTGGGGCGTAGGTGGCACAGTCGTCTAATACACCCGAATTTGCTGGTCAGAGTATTTAGGGGTTCTCTAGATTCAAATGCTGTTGGAGTAAGCCTCAAGGATCCATCCTTTATTTCAAACTCTACAGACATACTCCCTAGTTCTACCTGGATGTCACCTATCAGTAGTGAGAGAAATGCAGTGTCAGGGTAGTTCTTGAAGTTGCTACAAATCCTATCAAACATTGTTAAGTCTTGACACGTCTACCTGCTGCTGATCATTGGAGTAATAACTGTCATAAAATGTTTTGGGATTTGTGTGTTTAATAGTCAGGAACCACACAAAAGAGGATGCATGTGTCACTCAAACATACTTACGTTTCATCTTTGCTAATGGATTAGCATCATTTCTCTGATTTTCTGGAACACATTTACATTTTCACAGGGAGAAAAGAAATAAGTCTTCCTTATAAACTTGTTCAAAACATAGAACAGGTCAAAGTTCATAACAATTATGGATAATAAAGGGAAGGTAACTCTTGTATCAGAAGAATTGACATGCATCATGTAGATTGTGTTAGATAACAGTGAGGAACATCTTCATTATCTGCTTATCTTGGACCAGAGTCTTTAATAAATTAATTATTAGATTTTCTTCTCCTCCTACCACATAACCCAACACACACCTATGTTGCAATACCTAGGTCAGTACTGTAATACGTTCTGCTAGTCTTCTTCCACTTTCAAACTGCCCTTTGTCGTTGCAAGACCATACATTGGCTTGTCCCCTTTTGATGGGAATAAGCTTATAGTTGAGACTTGGAAACTATTTGTAACCATAGTAACACTTCAAGGGGAGTAAAATAATCAAGGGGGATAACAGTGACAAATAGCAGTGTTTACTAGAAATATTATTTGTCTTAAATCAGCTGTACTATGAAGATTTTAATTTATTATATCATTGATAAAACCCAAAGAGGGTCTCAATATACAAGTCCATTTAGATCGTATCGCAATACATAATGCTGAAGGTTTGTTTTCTTCTGCGTGACGAGCGAACGCTTTAACCACTAGGCTGCACGACCGCCCCTCCATGTCAGCTGAGGGAAGAACTTGTTATTACTTTCTCTGTTATTGTAAACATTACACAAAGTATAAGCAGCTGTGTTGGTACTGAGAATAGGAACTTAGAAATGTTTAAAATTTGTTCAAGCATGTCTGTGAAAGGCATTAAGAAGTTTTACACATAAGGAAGAGAATTTATGGATGTCAACAGCTTTATTATGAGAGACACAATGTTTCGGAGTATATACTTATTATATATGTTGAGCAATGGGAAGCCAGGATGACACCTTGATTGTTGTTGTTGTTTGTTGTTTAACGCTGCACTCAGCAATATTCCAGCTATATGACAGCGGTCTGTAAGTACGGTAATCGAGTCTGGACCAGACAATCCAGTGATTGATATCATGAGCATCGATCCACTAATTTGGGATCAATGACAAGCATCAACCAAGTCAGCGAACCTGACCACCTGATCCATTAGTCACCTTTTACCACAAGCTTAGTCGCCTTTTATGGCAAGCATGGGTTGCTGAAGACCTATTCTACCCCCGATCTTCACGAACTGATGATGCCTTGAACTGCATTGACACCTTGGACTGACAACAGAAGATGTTTTCACTTTGATGGTGGTTGTGGTGTTCAAGGAGACGTGGGCCGACAGAAGGCCTATTTGCATCAAACTTCTCTTTCAAATGCTAATATGGGTTGTCTCCCTTGCATCACTCCATGGAGTTTTATGCTGGTCACATGTTTTTCATGTGCTATGAAGTATATGTAATACGTATATTCAGTATTTTTTATCCTTCTGGACGTAGGAGATATGTTTCATATTTATCAGAATTAATAATGTAATATACATGATGCAGTTTCACAAGACAGACATTGTGTGTATTGGTTTTAATACGTACATTACCTATTGTCCTTGTGGGTTTCGAGAATTGAGGACGTCAAATCATTCTTCAACTTCATCATTTATTCTAATTCTTAGTTTCATATTCTAACAGATTCTTGTTCTAGTTGAAGGGTGCCGTTGCCACGAAATACTAAGGTAGCGCTGTCGGCTTAATTGACTGCAAAGTAATGCAGAAACGTCTATGAATATACTAATATTTAGACGCAAATATGAAAATAAACGGTCACTTTAATAATGTCTTCCTTCTCGGTTACTGAAGTTTTGTATTTAATTGCATAATTACCGTTTTATAACCTCTACGGTCCCCCGCTCACAGCACAGTCTCTTGCACATAGCGATACCAACAACAACATAAAAGTTACTTCCCTTTACAACTTAAATGAAGACCCCTTAAATATTAAATTAACCCAAACAATTGATCAGAATCCAACAGTCCTGTATCAACAGCATCAGTAAGGTGTTGACCAGGCATGACAACATTTTGTTTCTACTCATTCAAGTGGTAACTATGGTAACACTTACACCATCTGCCCTTTCCGGTTTTTCAAAAGTCATCTCTTGAGAACTCTGCTCTGTGTTCTCTCCACAGCACCGAGCGACGACCCGCTGTTCCAAGCGGCACCAGCGTATGGAACCTGTAAGGTGATGTGTTTCCACCCGTGGTCCGACCTCACCCTCCCCATCATGTCGCACAAGGAGGTGCGCAAAGTCGTCGACGCGTGGGCGGAGCTGAATGTGGACCTGGGAAAGAAGTTCCTGTGGGTGCAGGTGCGACATCTATATTTGTAGCTGTAGGGACATCTGTCTTATATGTTACCCCAAGGGCCAAATAGCAAGCTCCTCACAGAGATAGTCCATCCATGGAAGCCTCTGTACCACTGCTGCCACCAGTCACAGCTCCCTACTGTGCTTGGTGCTTGACAACCATGCATGGAGTTGAACTTTGACCGTTATAATTACTGTCATGACGCCGAAAATACACTTCTGCTAGGTGTGGATGATACACCGATGCATTGGTGGATTGCGATTTTTTACTTCTCGATACAAGTATCGATCACAGTCGCACACTAAGTAAAAAGTATCGATTCTACCTTAAATATTTGCTTTAATAACTGTTGCACCAAACACTAATTAGTTGTGAAAGTTAATAGTGAAAATTAGTAGTGAAAACGTAAATATTTTTATCAATTGCACCATATTCCTGTGTATGAGAAATATGGCTTACGCACCACGGAAAAGAGCACAAGCGAGTATCGTGGTACGTATCGGATCATGAGCAAGGCATTGTGGAAGGTATTGGATCGCACAGTTGGTGTATCCTCCCAGCCCTAGTCATTGGTCTTAATACATCTGGAAAATAAAAAAAGAAAGTAAATCAGTAGTAAAGATGTTCTCTATTCCTTGACAACGGCGGTGATGATAACGGGAGAGTGACGAAGGTGTTAGTGGTAGCATGGAGTTTGGGCAGATCCCCAGCATCACATGATAATTGTGGGAGCAGACTGAGATTTAAGGTGGATGGTTACAATGTTTTCCCTGTTCCTTGTCCCTGACATCAAGATTGTTGCTCATGCTATCAAACACTGGTCTGCCTTGCCTAGAATGGACTATTGACGGTGATTCTAGAATGCTGTGATGTAGGATGCATAGTGATGAGTGCCACCAAACAACATTCATTCACTTAAGTGGGAAAGGAGTTTTCTAAAGCTACGCTAACTTATCTTATTCGTCTTTCAGCTGTTCGAGAACAAGGGAGCAATGATGGGCTGTTCAAACCCCCACCCTCACTGTCAGGTGAAGAGATGACACTAACGCTAGAAGTCTATTATTATATATACCTTATCATGTTTTGTTTCTGGAGCAGGACTCACAAACCATGAGCGATATCTGTGCTCATTTAGTCATTGTGTGGACCGCCTCCGTGGTCTAGTGGTAGAGCGTCCGCCCGGAGAGCGGAAGGTCCGGGGTTCGATCCCTGACCGCTTCATACCAAAAGATGGTACTTGTTGTTACCCTGTCTGGCGCTCGGCATTGAGGGGCTTAAACAAGGACTGGTCGGCTCGGAGTCAGTATACTGTGTCTGAGTGGGGTATTCATATTAAACTGCGGCATGGTATCTCAGTGAGGTAGCACTATAAATCGGCATCAGTCCGGACTAGTACAAGCAGCCACACAAACACACACACGTACATGCACGTCACTATATATGTGCAATAATCTTGGACGCTACGTTAAACCCCATTTCACCTCACCTTGTCATTGTGTGATGAAATGATGAATTTGTCTCATACATGTATATGAAAGGGATATCTTGAAACGGTTGTTTATAGATTTATGGCAATATTATTATTAAGCCAGATCCTAAAGCCTATTTGTAACATAGATGCCAAATCCATATAATTTTACAATGCTGTTTTGGTAGAGACTAAAATCATTGTCTTGGATGAACTAATTCAGGACATGACTTTCTGACCTAAAAAGTAAAATGAAGCAAATGCTCTTTCACTTTGATGTGGTTGGTAGTTCATAATCTGTGTAGTCTAAGTGTTACTGTTCCATGACTCCGGGGGCGGTGGGGTAGCCTACTGGTTAAAGTGTTCACTTGTCATACCGAAGACCAGGGTTCAATTCCCCAGATGGGTACAATGTGTGAAGCACATTTCAAGTGTTCCTTGCTGTGATACTGCTGGAATATTGCTGAAACCCATACTCACTCACTCCTTTCTGGAGCAGATCTTGAAAAACGTACAATATTTCTTCACCATACTTGTCACGTAGATAGGGCTAGTGGTAAACTGGGGCCTTTTGATAGATTGGGATTTTTTTTTAAATTATTTTTACGAGTTTCCATAGCAATGACCCTGACTTAGACTGAAAATGGTGGTAGTGCTCATTTCCAGAGCAGAACTTGAAAACCGTACAATATTGTTTGCCTTGCACACTACCAGAACTGTCATATTGGTGGGGGATATGATTATTTCTTGCGTTTTGATATTGAGTGTGGCATTAAACACCATACAAAACAAGCATGTTCAGAATACAGGTGTGTTGCAGGTGTGTGACAGGTGTTGTATATGCAGGTGTTGTATATGCAGGTGTGTTGCAGGTGTTGAGTATGCAGGTGTGTTGCAGTGTTGAGTATGCAGGTGTGTTGCTGTGTTGAGTATGCAGGTGTGTTGCAGGTGTTGTATATGCAGGTGTGTTGCAGGTGTTGAGTATGCAGGTGTGTTGCAGGTGTTGAGTATGCAGGTGCGTTGCCGGTGTTGAGTATGCAGGTGTGTTGCAGTGTTGAGTATGCAGGTGTGTTGCTGTGTTGAGTATGCAGGTGTGTTGCAGGTGTTGAGTATGCAGGTGTGTTGCAGGTGTTGAGTATGCAGATGTGTTGCAGGTGTTGAGTATGCAGGTGTGTTGCAGGTGTTGAGTATGCAGGTGCGTTGCCGGTGTTGAGTATGCAGGTGTGTTGCAGGTGTTGAGTATGCAGGTGCGTTGCCGGTGTTGAGTATGCAGGTGTGTTGCAGGTGTTGAGTATTCTTGTGTGTTGCAGGTGTTGAGTATGCAGGTGTTGTATATGCAGGTGTGTTGCAGGTGTGGTGCAGCTCCTTCCTGCCCAATGAGCTGTCTGTGAAGGACAAGACACAGAAGGAATACTACGACAAGTACAACAAGCCCATGCTGGTGGATTATACAGAAAAGGAACTCAAAAAGAAGGTAAGGTCATGGTCACTTCTTGCCAACATGCTGCCAGATGGTAGATGGTCCACTTTCATGTTGTAAGTAGCCAATTTGCCTCAGCACACTTAGACTTGACAGAATTCAGTTGCATAAAAGTTGTATACAACAATGAGTTGTGAGTGGTTTGCATTGGATCTGGTTGACCTGATCTTAAGGTGGACTCAGTGCTTGTGTTTATGCCAAGGGCAGAACCAGCATTTTTAGAAGGGAGGGGTCCAAAATATCAAGATCCTGTCTCAGATAATGTAACTGCCTACAACATTAGGTTTTCAAAAGGTGGGCTGGGGACCCGGACCCCTTGGCCCCCCCCCTCTCTCTGGATCCGCCTATGTATGCTGTTCCTCTCAATTCAGTGCTGGCTGATTCTTACAGATGAGACTATTGTTGACTCTGTTGTTTCAGGAGTGTGTTCATATGGAGAATATTCTGTTCTGTTAATTCATTGGCGTAAAAAGCTAAAGTATGTTGTTTCTGTTGCTTCAGAAGTGGTTGTGCTTGATACTTTGTTTCTAATGTTTCTGTTGTTCAGAAGTCGAGTGTTCTGGAGAATATTGTTTGTTGTATTTCTGTAGTTTCAGAAGGAAGTTGTGCCTGATGTGTTTTGTTTCTAGTGTTCATGTTGTGCTGAACAATGATTCTAGTGGTTGTGTTGCTTCAAGGGTGTGTTGTGCTGGAGAACATTGTTTCTAGTGGTTGTGTTGTTTCAGAGCGTGTTGTGGTATTGAATGTTGTTTCTAGTGTCTGTGTGGTTTCAGGAGCGTGTTGTGCTGGAGAATGACTACTGGGTGTGGCTGGTCCCCTACTGGGCTGTCTGGCCGTATGAGACGATGCTGCTGCCCAAACGTCACGTCCTTCGAATTGAAGACCTCACAGATGCGGAGAGAGACTGTGAGTTGTGGCTGAACAACATTGGTGTGACACTGACTTGAAGCACTGATGATATTGTCTAATCCACATCACATCAAGCAGCCTGTTGCTGTACAGTAACCATGGATACATGTTTCCAGCCACATGGGGATTTGGGAGGGGGGGGGGGGGGGGGGGGTCGCAGTAGCTCAATGGCAACCTATGCTTGTCGTAAGAGGTGACAATATGGATTGAGGGAGCAGACTCAATGACTTACAATATAGTCATAATATTACTGTTTGGTCCATCATATAGTTGGAATATTGCTGAGACAGGCATTAAACAATGTAACAAAACAAATCTATTTCTATAACAGGCTCTTCTGAACAGGTGTAAATCTTTCAGCCATTGATACTGTGGATAACATAGCCTCAGACAACATGGCTTCAATCTTCTAATGCCTGACTGAGGTACTGAGGACAAACTCTTTCTTTGTTGCTATATTTTCTTGAGTATAGCTAAAGTATGGCTCAAGTAGGCCTGTAGCTTCTTATTGCATGTCCTACGAGACCTCACTATGGAACTGTCTGTGTCATGTTTCCTGTGTGGAATCCATGGCAGAATTGGTCCCTAGGACTGTACAACTGCCAGTGACGACTCCACTATATAGCATCTTATCACAATGTGTGACATAATTCATTGTGTTTCATCATAAGCTATATTGTGTTCATGCTATCGACCACTGGTTTCCCTGTTCCAGATTTGATTATTTCCTGGCTGCCATGATACAGCTGGAATATTGCTGACTGCAGTGAACAAAACGTAGCAATTAACCCACTCATCCCTTATGTCTTGGTTTACAGCGCTAGCCGAGATCATGAAGAAACTGCTTTCTAAGTATGACAACATGTTCGAGGTGTCGTTTCCCTACTCCATGGGCTGGCATGGTGAGTAGTACTGGACATAGTCCATTATATTGTGGTAATAGTTCAGTAGTGTTTTTACTTGAGAAATAAATGACGAGTGGGAGCTGTTTGTCGCACAATAAAACACTGCAGGGAAATTATTCTTCCTGCAGTGTTTTATTGTATGATAAACGACCACAAGTTGTTTATTTCTTTTGTGAGATATCAACATATTGTACAACCTTTTTAAGGATGTCGATAAAATGTAGAAGCTTTAAAACATTTACCTTCAGGAAAATATTGATGACTCCCTGAATACAATCTGACGTCGGCAATGTCGGACAAGTCCATTTTATGTACTGGGGGTTTAAGTTTGGTGTTCTCACAAGTTTCATGTTAATTATCTGCACCTTTTCTTCAAATCCAAATTGTCGTATCTCGCCCACTTTTGGATGCGATCATTCGGCCACTGCGTTTATGTGCCTACCCCGGCTACATCTATGGCGAACAACTCCCTAGACACTTCCCTCTAAAAAATAACATCGTCCAATTTCAGCATCATCAAGTTGCGAACGCATGTTTAAATCTCAAGAAATGACGTCATGATAAAACAAAGTTCGTCATTGTTCTTTGCGATTTATTGCAATACTATCTTATATTGGTCATTTACCAGTACTTGGACAAGCACCTGCTGAAATATTATCTGTGATTTGAACAAGATCATTTGGATAATAGCACACCTAGAGGATTCAGTAATGGAGACATCACTCACGATTCTTGAAGAAGAATCAATGATGTTATCATGGTTATGGTCCATATGTAATTTCGCTAACATTTTGCATGATCACATAGTTGCGTCAGTTTGGCCAGTGAATTCCTGGCTTTGAATCAGATGCAACAATAATAGCATGACGTCATTATAATGTTTATATGCTAAATAGTGAATGGAATAAATGTTAAGGATATTTCAATGCTATGAGCAAGAAATGAGAAAGAAAGAGCCTAGTCTGATACTGTGACTACTGATTGCTTGATAATGATTTAGCTGATCTCATGTCTCATGTTAGGGGCACCCACTGGAGAGCGTCTAAAGGGAGACAACCAGCACTGGCAGCTCCATGCGCTGTATTACCCGCCCTTGCTGAGGTCAGCAACAGTGAAGAAGTTCATGGTTGGGTATGAGATGCTGGCCCAGTCTCAGAGAGATCTCACGGCAGAACAGGTGGGTTCGACTGTAGTAGGGGGATCTCACGGCAGAGCAGCTGGGTTCGACTGTTGTAGGGGGACGTCACGGCAGAGCAGGTGGGTTTGACTGTAGTAGGGGGGTGTCATGGCAGAGCAGGTGGGTTCGACTGTAGTAGGGGGGATGTCACGGCAGAGCAGGTGGGTTCAACTGTAGTAGGGGGATCTCACGGCAGAATAGGTAGGTTTGACTGTAGTAGGGGGATCTCTGGGCAGAAGAGGTGGGTTCTACTGTAGTAGGGGGATCTCTGGGCAGAAGAGGTGGGTTCAACTGTAGTAGGGGGATCTCTGGGCAGAAGAGATGGGTTCGACTGTAGTAGGGGGATCTCTGGGCAGAAGAGGTGGGTTCGACTGTAGTAGGGGGATCTCTGGGCAGAAGAGGTGGGTTCGACTGTAGTAGGGGGATCTCTGGGCAGAAGAGGTGGGTTCGACTGTAGTAGGGGAATCTCTGGGCAGAAGAGGTGGGTTCGACTGTAGTAGGGGAATCTCTGGGCAGAAGAGGTGGGTTCGACTGTAGTAGGGGGATCTCTGGGCAGAAGAGGTGGGTTAGACTGTAGTAGGGGGATCTCTGGGCAGAAGAGGTGGGTTCGACTGTAGTAGGGGGATCTCTGGGCAGAAGAGGTGGGTTCTACTGTAGTAGGGGGATCTCTGGGCAGAAGAGGTGGGTTAGACTGTAGTAGGGGGATCTCTGGGCAGAAGAGGTGGGTTCGACTGTAGTAGGGGGATCTCTGGGCAGAAGAGGTGGGTTCGACTGTAGTAGGGGGATCTCTGGGCAGAAGAGGTGGGTTCGACTGTAGTAGGGGGATCTCTGGGCAGAGGAGACGGGTTCGACTGTAGTAGGGGGATCTCTGGGCAGAAGAGGTGGGTTCGACTGTAGTAGGGGATCATGGACTGTCATTGTGCACAACGTGGAACACCCAGTTAGCAGCTCAGGGTGTTGGTGTGATGTATGACCTTCTTGGGTAAATGTAGTTGCACAACAGCCTGGTCTTTTCTGAATCTTCCAGGTGATTTTTGTGATGCCAGCCTTTGTAATGTATGATCCAAGCTTTTCATTCAAAATTGGTTACAAAATTTCATCGTGACTTTAGGTATTGCTGCTTCAGCAATCTTTTTCAGATGTTGTCTCATCCATTCATACATTAGCCATTGTGTAATATGACATCCATTCATACATTAGCCATTGTGTAATATGACATCCATTCATACATTAGCCATTGTGTAATATGACATCCATTCATACATTAGCCATTGTGTAATATGACATCCATTCATACATTAGCCATTGTGTAATATGACATCCATTCATACATTAGCCATTGTGTAATATGACATCCATTCATACATTAGCCATTGTGTAGTATGACATCCATTCATACATTAGCCATTGTGTAATATGACATCCATTCATACATTAGCCATTGTGTAGTATGACATCCATTCATACATTAGCCATTGTGTAGTATGACATTCAGTGAGCATGTTTCTTGTATACTTCAGGCCCTTTGTGACCTGTAAAATTAAGATTTAATTTTTTTCAAATTGATCTAAATTGTAAAAATGTAGGTGAGCTATAGAACATTGTCATGCCTCAAAGCTCAGTATAGGATGTACAAGCTTCATTGTGTAATATATTTTCTTTCACAGGCTGCAGAAAAACTACGAGGCTTGTCTGAAGTTCACTATAAGCTGGCAGAAGAATCGTGACAACACAGTGTATAGGATATTGTTGACAGTGGGTGGAGGGAAGTGCTGTGCCTTGTGCAGATGTGTTCTGGTGGTGTGAACTCATCGCTTGTACTCCAGTCATGAAAGCACTGCCACGGGATGTTTAATATTGGCCAAACTAATCATAGATGTTTTGTCTTGACTGCTGTGAAATGTTGTTGTTGTGTTTGATGAAAGTGAATCTACTTATTCTGTGTGGTTATTGGCAAGGCAGGAATCGGGCACCAATCAAACGTCATACAGTATAATACTGGCTTTCACACATTTATGTTCTATATAGACATCCTTCATGCACTGTTTTAGCTGTTCAAACCAGCATTAACAATATGATCTCAACAGGAGATTTTACCAATATCATTAAAATCAGATCTTAGTGCTTGCTTCTGCTCCACAATGATCATAAGCCATTACAAGTCACATAAAACTATCTTTTTTGAACTTTGATCTATGAAATGACGAACAGGAAGTCAACATTAGCCAATCAGAAAGAAGCTTTCTCGAGCTTGATGACTCAGTTTCAAACTGGCGACTTCCATTCCGTACTACTGTTTAAAACATGTTTTAAGAAGTTCTCACTTTAAAATTTAAATACTGAACAAGAGAAAATTCTGATTGTCAATAAATGGGAAAGATTATATGGCAATACTTCCAACAGGCCATGGAAAGTGTCTTCCATTTCAAATGTTTATCCCTTTTTGACGGATTCAGTCGTATCCGTTAACTGTTGTTCGGAATGCTTAGTGTTGCATGATTGTATAATACACTCACACTTTCACATTCTATGCTCGGATTGGTCGGAAGAAAGTGGTTCTGACAGGGTGGGATGTCTTCTGTAATAGGAAGTCCTCAGATCTATGTGTAGCTGTTGCGAGCGCAGCGCTATCGTCTGATTTTACTGAGATTGGAGATATTAATGAAGGATGTGTTCAAGTAGAGTTGTGAACATCTCAATCTCTTATGCCTGAGAGAAACCTATGATCACAGGTTTGAATCCGAGAATTTATCTGATCATGTGTCTAGGTTTGTGAGCAACATACCAGCTTATTGGTTTCACCAAAGTGGTAAAAAGTTAGTACCTGCATACAACTGAAATACTGTTCAAATCAGCATTTAACCAAACTCACCAATTTTGTGGACTCACATTTTGACATGGTCTTATTGAGTTAATGGAGCGTAATTTTCACAGCTGAATATTCCTTATTTGTAGCTGTTATTATGTTCAGCCTGCAGTATACTTGAGATGTGTGTTTTGTTCATAATCTGAGGTTTGAATCTCCTTGAAGACAACTTGACCATGTTATCTCACAGAGCAATACCAGAACAATGGCGATGTGTTTTATGAAAGTGTTCTCCACAACATACGTGTCCTCAGTCAGGGAATTCTACATTGCCAAATAATTATTAAGACAGATTTATGTATTTTACAGCTAATAAAGCCTATATTAGCATATGTTGGTTTGTTGTTCACTACATACTTTTTGTAAGGGACTGTTTGGTGGTTCATGGTAGGACTAGATGCCAATATACTTGTCGGGAAGTAGACTCAGATGTGGATTGGATGGTAACAATGTGTAACAGTACATCCAATTATCTTAGCCTAACTTAATGTGTAACCTGACTGTTGTGTGCCTTCCTTCTTTGACCCCCGCGGACACCACTGGTTTGCCAGGCCCAAAATCAAAATGTGTTTATTTATAGACCACCAAGATGTGGAATGAATACTGCTATAATTTTTTTTATGAAAACAAGCATTGGTATGGTATGGCATCCCACAATAAGAACAGATTAGTCTGCTGGATTTTTCAAGGACAAGAAGAGTACAACAGGCAGAGTGAGTGAGTGAGTATGGTTTTACCCTGGTTTTAGCAATATTCCAGCAATATCACGGGGGACACCAGAAAAGGGCTTCACACATTGTAGCCATGATGGGAATTAGACCTGTGTCTTAGGTGTGACGAGCGAAGGCTTTAACCACTAGGCTACCCCACACCCCTACAACAGGCAGACAAAGGGATCATAACTAGCATCAATCTGGGATTCAAACCTAGAATCAGCGGATCAGGCAGACAAGGGATGCAACTCTTCAAAGCGACTTGCCGTGGCAGCTGATATATCTGTTCAATGTGCCCACATATGAAGTATGTGATTGACGTCTGGTCATATCCAGACAGGCAATATGATATCACTAATAACTACGACAGTACTAATATTCGCTGTTCAAGAGGTTGCAAGACTAGGACAGTACAGAAATAGGACACGGATACACACAAGCAGGGTATGACTCAGGGTCGTTATTCTCTAAACTTGCAGCAATGCAAGGGGACAAGATGCCAGAATTTACATGTGGTATTTGGGTTCCTATAAGTATCAACATCTAAAATTATGAACATTAGATATATTAAAGCACATAAAGTAAAAGTTGTTTGAAGAAAACCTCTATCAAAATTATAATTTCTTGTGATGAAATTTGATGTTTTGAATGTCAACAAAACAAAACTTGACAATGTGTTATAAAAGAAGCAGCAAAGATCTAATTTCGAATTACAAACCTACAACCAATTTTACCTATCTATGTAGGTATCTTGCTGTCTCCTAGCAGCCTTGTTAGAGGTGTTACTTTCAAGTTAGACCTGAGAGGTTTTTAATTTGAATTGCATAAACAGCATTTAAATATGCATCTATGGTGATTTTTGACGGGTTTGATATTTTTCATATGAAAATTCCATGACGTGAATCGAGCCTGTAACCTCACATACCATGTTTTGTTTTGCAACGCACTGATTTCCCACTGTGCCTAGGGGCAGGCTCAATCTTACATGTCATGACTTCAGTTATCTGCTTGCTGCACATGGTTTCCTCTCGCCCACTGTAATCGAATTCGTTTTATACCGCGACTAATGTATTGTTTCATTATAAGGTATCCTGATGATTTTTATGCTTCCTTGCATTTCTTGCATTTAGACGGTTGATAAGTTTGTTAAAACACTTGGCGGATGCAGGTCGTCGATCCCAATTGCGTACATCGATGTACGTTCAGTCATTGGATTGTCTGGTCCAGACAATTATTTACAGATGGCGTCGTATAGCTGGAATATTGTGGCGTTAAACAACAAACAAGATCAGGAAATACTTATCACGTTAATATAACAATGACGAGGCGTAAGTGTGCACTCGACGATACTGACATGTCACACAATGTAGACAAATAGATACCATGACTGGCGTATCTTTATCTTTACGTTATCAAGGTGTGCATCTTTCACCCTCGTTATCTCTATGAAGTCCGGACCTGTGATACACGGCGGCTACCATAGACAGTCAACAAGTGATTGTTTCTTCATAAGTTTATGTTACACCTGCTGAAAGGCATCGATTTATTGCACCAGAATCGTAATGGCCGACACATCTTCAGAAACAGCGCAAAACATTACCAGTGGCGTTGATGCGCAGGATGATATAGGACTCGCAGGTCAAGATGGCGGACAAAGTGACGCACACACTCCTCGAAGTCAACGGAATAGTCAAGACGGAGATCGGCCGGGTGCAGATGATGGTGGAGACAGTGATGTCAATGTTGACCACGTTCATGAGGTTGAGGAGGACGGGAACCAGAGAGCGGAAGGAGAAGGGGGACACCCGGGCGAGGAGGGCGTGGTTCGGGCAAGGTATTGTGGGTTGTGTGAGGAAGGTCACCCCGCAGAAGGCAGGTGCATGAATTGTTGTGAAGACCTCTGTACTAACTGTATTAAATATCACGAAAGACTCCGAGTCACGGCTCTTCATAATATCCTCCTGTTCGAGCCGGGGGCCACCAGTGACATTGTGGTCCCTACCAGGTCCAATACGGACTGTCATAAGCACAACGAACCACTCAAGTTTTACTGCCAGACTTGTAAGCAAGCAGTGTGTAGAGACTGCATCCTGACAGCACACAAGGGCCACCAGGCCGTTGACCTGACAGACGAAGTGGACAATGCTAAAAAAGAAGCAGAGCGACTTTTAAAGAGGGTTCAGAACAGCGTCCGTCGGTCAGAGCGGGAAATGGGGGATCTGAGGACCTACCATGCTGAATTCCTGGACAAAGTCCGGAAGGTGTCCGACGTGATTGACAAGCTCCATACAGCGGTGCTCCAGAGGGTGGAGAGGTCCTACCAGGAACTCACTCAGATGATAGCAGCGACCAAGGAGGACGAAGTGATGCGTCTGGAGCAGATTGAAGAGTTCCTACAACAACGGTTGCTGTCTGCGTCTGACTTCACTGCTGTGGCTGACCACGTGCTGACGAGCCAGGATGGGATTGACGTCATGTTGAAGCTAGACATGATGAAGCAATCTGTAACGCCTGTCTGCCAACATGCCGACTTCCAGAAGGGACATGCTGAATTCTTCTTGGCGAAAAACCCACGGTTCACCTGCAATACCGCCGACAATATTCTGGGGCGGGTGGCCTTCTCTTTAATGTGGCCCCCTGTAACCAATACCCCAGAGAGACGGGCATTCATACGAGAAATCAGGCTTAAAAGAGAAGTAGCGTTTCATATTTGGGAGATGCATTGCACTAAACCGTCGGTCAGAGGGATTGTTGAGGGTCCCAATGGGGTTGTATGGGTCGCGACCCCTCGTTCCCTTCTCACCATTGGAGTCAACGGTGAACGTAAGAACAGTGTCCATCTTACAACCGACATAGCAAGCATTACCGGAGGACCAGACGGGAGGCTCCTTGTGGCGTTCATACAAGGTAATACCAACAAGATTTTGTATCAGGACAATTGGTCCAACTTTGCCCCCGTACCGGGACCCATGCCTTCGATAGCTAGTAGCATAGATGGACAAAGAATTCTGGTGCCTCAGATGTGCCACGGCGCGCCCCGATTGCTGGTCATTTGTAATCAAGGCAAGGACATCGTGGACGTCGACCTCCCCCCACAGCTCGCCAGCGACTTTGACATCCCAAGCTTTAGTGTAGGACCTGACGGCGAGGTCGCTATGTGCATCGGTAAACGTGACATGGTCGTTATCCTGACGCCGTCCTTCAAGTACAAGAGTGACTACCACGGGCCCGATGGCGTCTTGTACCCCAGGAGCATCTGTTACGACAAGCTGGGCCATCTCATCGTCGCCGACAGCAAGAGATGTAATGTTCAGCTTGTCAGTAAGGATGGACGGTTCTTGTCCTACCTGCTAAACAAGGAGGATTTTCAAGACATCGGGTCACCAACTGCCGTGACCGTCGATAATCGGGGGAGGCTGTGGATTGGAACCGGGAATGGCAATGTGTGTGCCTACACCTACATGCACGACATTCTGTGACGGCATTGTGTGTGCCTACACCTACATGCACGACATTCTGTGACGGCATTGTGTGTGCCTACACCTACATGCACGACATTCTGTGACGGCATTGTGTGTGCCTACAGCTACATGCTCATTTTGTGCCTACAGCTACATGCACGACATTCTGTGACGGCAATGTGTGTGCCTACACCTACATGCACGACATTCTGTGACGGCATTGTGTGTGACTACATCTACATGCACGACATTCTGTGACGGCAATGTGTGTGCCTACACCTACATGCACGACATTCTGTGACGGCAATGTGTGTGCCTACACCTACATGCACGACATTCTGTGACGGCATTGTGTGTGCCTACATCTACTTGCACGACATTCTGTGACGGCATTGTGTGTGACTACATCTACATGCACGACATTCTGTGACGGCATTGTGTGTGACTACACCTACATGCACGACATTCTGTGACGGTATTGTGTGTGACTACAGCTACATGCTCATTTTGTGCCTACAGCTACATGCACGACATTCTGTGACGGCAATGTGTGTGCCTACACCTACATGCACGACATTTTGTGACGGCAAAACGTGTTTCTACACCTACATGCACGACATTCTGTGACGGCATTGTGCGTGCCTACACCTACATGCACGACATTTTGTTACAGCAACGTGTGCTCCTACACATACATGTACGACATTCATTCGTTATTGAATTGCTACCACATGCTAAGATTGACAAGAAATCAGCGACACCAAGCCCTTGGACGATTGCAAGCTGGAAAAACCGCCCGGCAAGTAGCTAATGCATTTCAAGTCCATGTAAGGACCATTTACAGGCTCCAGCAACGGTACCAGACCACCAACACTACAGATGACCGAACACGTAGTGGAAGACTAAGGGTCACCACCCGACGTCAGGATCGTCAGACTGTGCGACAGCATCTTCAAGATCGCTTTGTAACTGCTGCGGAAACTGCTCGACAGTCTGGCGACGCCGTGGTGGACGTTATTCGGATGCTTGTGTTGTTGAGAGAGACTCGTGGGGTGGTCCGAGCATAATGGTGTGGGGTGGAATTGGTCTTGCACAGAGGGTCGGCCCTGTGGTCTTCCAGAACATCGGTCCAGGGAGAGGGAATCGTGTCACAGCAGCTCGGTACATTGATCAAGTCTTGAGACCACACGCCATACCTCATTTTGCACGTCGCCGCAACCACGAGTTTCAGCATGATAACGCCCGTGCCCATACTGCGAGAGCAACAAGAGACTTACTCCAGCAGAATGGCATCAGAACCATACAATGGCCTGCCCTCAGTCCCGATTTAAATCCCATTGAGCACCTGTGGGACGAGATTCAAAGACGACTAAATGACGTCCGACCAAGGCCGACAACTGCAGCTGAACTGCGTCAGGCGTTCCACAGAGTGTGGGCTCAAGTGCCTATGGCCTTCATCAACCGCCTCATCCATTCCATGTATCGACGTTGCACGGCAGTCATTAGTGCATATGGCGGACACACGAGATACTGACTTGTGATGCCATTTTCTCAGAGACTAGTGTTATGTTTCACTTTAAGAACATTTGGCACTTTAATTTCAACATTGATGATCAGTTTCATCTTTTAAATATGTCTCAAAGTATGTTTACAGTGTTTGGACAAATAAGGTTTCTCATATATCTATCCATGGTGACGTTTATTTGGCGGTTCAGTATATATTGTATAACATGTGACTACACTTATGTAACAGATATCATGGTTATAAGTTTCCGGTTTAGAAACCTCTGCATGCGTTCGTGCGTGCGTGCGTGCGTGCGTGCGTGTGTGTGTGCGTGCGTGCGTGCGTGCGTGCGTGCGTGCGTGCGTGCGTGCGTGCGAGTTGTTTAACACCGCACTCAGCAATATTCCAGATATATGACGGCGACCTGCAATCACTACAGTCTGGACCAGACAAACCTGTGATTGATATTGAGACCAACGATCCACGCCGTCGGAGTCCATTGTCACGCAATCAATCAAGTCAGTGAGCCTCACCCCACAAGTCTTATCTTACGACCAGCACAGGCTGCTGGGAAGCAATCCTAACCCGGAATCCCTAAGGGGTGGTAAGATATGTCAGTCCCTCCATAGGATGTCAAGTCATTTGCGCCCTAAATTCCATTTAGAAACAAATGAATGCGTCCATATACTTTTCCTCCGAAAGACACCCAAACCATTCTACATAACATACTTTTGAGAACCCTTTTCTGTGTTGTCATAGTACTCTTGGACACACAGATTAAGACGGGGGTACAGGCCTATGCCCCAACCCTGAATCTGAAACTGAATTCATCGGTTTTTAACAAACAGCAATTAGCTTCCAAACACAATTTTTTCCCTAAAGAATTATTTGTATTCATTTAGCATTTTGTTTTTATTTTAAGAGAGAGAGAGAGAGAGAGAGAGAGAGAGAGAGAGAGAGAGAGAGAGAGAGAGAGAAGGACAGACAGACAGACAGACAGACAGACAGGGAGAGAGACAGGGAGAGAGAGAGACACACAGAGAGACAGGCGCGCACACGCACACGCACACGCACACGCACACGCACACGCACACCAAAATATTATGATTGTATAATTCTCCACATTGCCACAATGCATGAAGCCCATTCTCGATGTCCGCGTGATGGTGAAGCAGACATACAGATAACGCGGCGTTAATCTCTCTCCTTTGTGTCACCATTCAGTCTGATCATCAGACATTGCTCACAGCCAAAATTCTAATTTTGAATATCATACAATCAAATATTATGTATGATAATTATTTAATGTTGTCATTTTGAACAAAACCACACAAACACATGTCATTTGTCTTAAATCTTTCAGGAATACGTTATTAGTTGAGGCTCTGGAATGTGTAGGTTTGTAAACAAACATTGCATCGCCGTTGCTCACACACAAATATTATGTTTGCGTCTGGGCCATACATAAATTAGATGAGGGCTAGCAGTTAGGAGGGCTTAGTTTATACCTGTTCTTTGACAAATAACCAATTTTGTTGATTGATTTGGATTAAAGGCAATAGACAAAAGCAGAGTGACACTACGGCAGGCTTAAGACTCAGTATCCCGATTACTGAAATAAGGTCCAGACATCATAGATTACCAATAGAAAAGGGCGATGGAGATATATGCCACGGGAAGACAGAATTTGTAGTCACTGTAATAAACATTACTTATCCGACGAAAATCACGATCTACTTATATGTATTTTGCATAACTTGCATAAGTTATATATTCAAAAGATGTATTTTACAAGACCTAGTGCGATATAACTTGATACTAAATTCTTAAAGGTTATGAGAACAAAGGAAATCAGCACAGTTTGTAAAAGAAATCTTTAAGATCTTTAATTAAATTATGAAAGTGTTGCAGTTAAACCTAAAGCTGACTCACGCCTGTCTCCTGCCTCGTGTCACATCATATATCTACACTTGTACTTTCAATATGTCATAGCTGTGACATTGAAGCGAAATACATGTTTTTTGTTATTGTTTGTTGTTGTTGGTAACAGCGAAACTGTCGCAAACCCATATACCCGTTCACTTAAATGATATTACCGAAGGAGTGGTCGTTGTGTGTGACTCCATGGTGAATTAAGTTTAATTATTTTCAGCACGGAATGTTATGATAATATTTAGCAATCTTTGAAGAATTCTTGACATGGGAAAATCGTATGTCCTATTGCTAATCCTTTGGATTCAAACCTTTTTTAGAATTGTTTGAATGCTCGGATAGTAGGGTGAGAAATTGTTCAAACACAAATGTAATTGCTCATACGGGGAGAATCGTTTAGATTGTAGACATAACTTACAAATAGATTTAGAAACCCACATTCGGAGGAAGCACAACACAATATTTAAAAAAGGATCAAAATTAACATTCCGAATCAAATACCATTTGGGAGTTGTGTAAAAATTGTATCAATAGTGTGTGCACATTCCCTGCACATCCGCTGCAGCAACCTTCACCGCCTTTGTTACTGACATTTGCCCTCCATCGATGCATGCTGGAGTGAAGGTTGCTGGAAACATACCTCCTGTTTACACACATTATCTATTATGGGTGATGTGAAATAATATAAAATTAGAATTAGAACACACGTGCACATATATTATGATATATATCTGTCATTCCTATAGGATAGACACTACCATACATATTTCAGGTCCTTTATGAGCGAGTTTTAACGCCGCTTTCAACGGTGTTTCAGCTGATGTGGAGAAGACAAACGTGATGGAGATCTTTGCCGTTTACCACTTGACATCCACAGACATAGATAAGGTGCCGACGAACCTAGGAACGTCATCAAGCGGTTCTGAGATTCGAACCCATTCCACGGGATCAGACACGAAGAAGCTGCGGCGCCTTAGACGACTTGGCACCCCATACGCCCAGGACCCCGTTCCACAAAGCGATCTTAGCGCTACGATTGTCGTAAGTCAGTGTTAAAGAATGGGAGTTACGATCAACTTAGAGCTAAGATCACTTTGTGGAACGGGGCCCTGCAGGACGTATCTGGTAAACGCGTGTACCTGGTCACTGACTGAACATGACTACATTCGTTATAGCGCGAGTGCTTCGTATGAATTTAATTAACTCGCTATCTTGAACCATATGATAACCTTTCTCCAGGATGTCATACTTTCTCATCACGTGTATCACCCTATATCAGTTGCCTCTCTTGTTTGTATTACCTGAACTGAACCTTATTGACGCTCAGGCCGCTATCAGCGACATCAGAGGTACAACATTATTTCAACAACATAATACATATACATATAAGTACATATATACAAAAACAGAACCGCGACTGGTGGTCGTTTCATTCGATTATATCATCTATATCCTGTTTATATAAGAAATTTGTTTATTTAGTTAATTAGGAGAGTATACGGCCTCTGATTCAGTGGGGTTAAATGAGTGATTACATGACATCTCAATGCTATACCAATACTATGTACCTTGGACGTTTTAATCTGTTGATGTTATAAAACATAATTTTATTGTTGCTTATAGGGTCACAAGTTGGCCCAGTCATCTAAGGCGTCTCAATTCGCTTTGCAGAGATACGTTCTTTGGACGGTCCCGAATCCAATGATCGTGGGTTCGAATCCCGAATTCGCTCTGATACTGTATGTAGGTTTGTCAGCACCATACCCGCGCTCGTGGGTTTCACCAAAGTGGTAAAGATCTGAGACACCATTTACTTCGGGCTTGCCTCCCACATGAAGCTGACACGCCGTGATGTAACTGGAATACTGTTCAAAGAATAAAATGTCGCCTTAAGGTAACAGATCTATTATTGAGAGAGTTGACAAATAAAACTGTGATGGATGTAAATGTTAAATAAATAACTGAATAAACAGATTATGAAAATATCAATTTCTTCATTAATGTGAAGTGGTGGATGATTCAGTGAAATATGTCGAATACTTTCCCAAATAATAAGGTTTACTTTATAGAGGTCCGACATATCCTACATTAAAGACTTGTAGAATCTGTAGACGACACATGTAATGTTCAACATTGAAATATGAGCGACATAATATCGTCATTTCCGTGTCATCAACACAACCAAAGGGGGATATGGTCAGGTGCAGTTTTTCATTGTTGTATCAATATTTGAAAATCTAGAAAATTTGAATTACAGAATATATGGCGATCTAGAAATGGCTATGAGCCATTCTGAATGTGGAATGAGACAAGTACATCTTTATTCTGACATGAGCTTCAACAAGCAAACGTGTTTGTATCAAGGTTGT